CCTGGTGAATAAGCACAACTTACATTGCACTAAAGTATCCCAGATGAAGGGTTGCCTTACAGTATCAATCAACACACCAATATTCACATCACACAAGCTCAGGGGGTCCGAGGTTGACCATGGTGTGGGATGCTACAGGTATTATCAACTCGATCAAGAGTACACATGTGTTCCACTGGTCAGAAAGGCATTATTTATATACATCAGGGCTCAATGAAATGCCCAAGATATCTAATAGGGTCTTTTTTTGGATTTTCGCAATGATTTATGTGTGAAGGATTGTTCTTCCAATGACAAATATTGGATCTGGTTTGAGACTGTGGGACAATACTATTCATGTTGTGTGTTGTCGACAGCAGTGCCCGTCTATGCTGAAACCACTCACACATTAACAAGGTGATTTGCATGGCGGTGGGTTGTTAGCAAACAGGAATAGCATCAGCATGGACCTAATGTTAGGTAATTGACCATTACGCCAATCTGTCAGGGTGGGGCAGTGCTAGCAGATCATACCAAGTACATGAGAGGGACCTTCAGCAAGACAGGCTGTTGAGCTTACCTCCCTTGTATTTCTGATGTAGACCTTCATTTCAGCAGGTGCCCTGAGTATTTCATGAACACGTTCATGAGTACAGGTGCCCTGAATGTTTAGTTCACACATTTATTGCAGCAGGTGCCCTATAATTTGGAGCTGATTTCAGATTTGCTTCCCATTCAACTGTGCTCTACATCCTTAACTGTAATAATATTATACGGTTTCTGCTTTCTGTGTGATGGTGAGAGAACTGATTGGGTGTCCGTGATTGGCACAGATTGCAGCCATTTATTGTGAGACTTGGGTGGGCTAGATGAGTGTTTCTCGTAACCAACTATTGCGTGTTCACACTTGCAGAAAACTTGTGTATGATTCTCAAGTGGAATGATTGAGGGCTGTTCAAAGACATGTCAGTCTTCAGAAATGTGGCTCTAACTGATACGTCAAAGTTCAAGGAACGCCTTTCTGTCCATCAGTTTTCTGCTTGTGGGTTTAGGAAGCATATGTTGTGATGTAATGAGGTGTAAGAATCTGAAATGAGGTGCTAGTCATGTAAGCGATGAGGAGTTTTACTTGGCTGGATTCAGTGATGGCTGCCTAAGTGCTCACATTGATTTTGATCAATGCAGCAAACTTGTATAATCCCACACATGTGTCCAGCACGGTGGCAGCACTCCCGCGGTTGTCAAAGAGAGGGCGGATCTGCTCCACTAGACTTGAATATGTGTGGGATGTGAAAGCCTTACATTTCTGTCCTGCAAACACTGGTCCGTCCAGCATAATTTTCAAAATCACTCCTCATACACAGAAGGGTCCACCCTGTGTTTGGGTCCATCATGTGTTAGGGACCACCATGTGTGGGTCCACTTTGTGATAGGGTCCATCATGTGTGAGGGTCCACTGTGTGTTAAGGTCCACCATGTGTGAGGGTCCACTGTGTGTTAGGGTCCACCATGTGTTAAGGTCCACCATGTGTGAGGGTCCACTGTGTGTTAAGGTCCAACATGTGTTAGGCTCCACCATGTGTTAGGGTCCACCACGTGTTAGGCTCCACCAAGTGTTACGGTCCACCATGTGTTAGGGTCCACCATGTGTTAGGCTCCACCATGTGTTAGGCTCCACTAAGTGTTACGGTCCACCATGTGTTAGGGTCCACCATGTGTTAGGCTCCACCGTGTGTTAGGCTCCACCGTGTGTTAGGCTCCACCATGTGTTAGGGTCCACCATGTGTTAGGCTCCACTACGTGTTAGGCTCCACAGTGGGTTAGGGTCCACCGTGGGTTAGGCTCCACCATGTGTTAGGGTCCACCGTGTGTTAGGGTCCACCATCTGTTAGGTTCCACCATGTGTTAGGCTCCACCATGTGTTAGGCTCCACCGTGTGTTAGGCTCCACCACGTGTTAGGGTCCACCATGTGTTAGGGTCCACCATGTGTTAGGCTCAACCCCATGTTAGGGTCCACCAGACGTTAGGGTCCACCGTGTGTTAGGGTCCACCGTGTGTTAGGGTCCACCTTGTGTTAGGGTCCACCTTGTGTTAGGGTCCACCATGTGTTAGGGTCCACCGTGGGTTAGGCTCCACCATGTGTTAGGCTCAACCACATGTTAGGGTCCACCATGTGTTAGGCTCAACCACATGTTAGGGTCCACCAGATGTTAGGGTCCACCGTGTGTTAGGGTCAACCCTGTGTTAGGGTCCACCATGTGTTAGGCTCAACCACATGTTAGGGTCCACCATGTGTTAGGGTCCACCATGTGTTAGGGTCCACCGTGGGTTAGGCTCCACCATGTGTTAGGCTCAACCACATGTTAGGGTCCACCATGTGTTAGGCTCCACCATGTGTTAGGGTCCACCGTGTGTTAGGGTCCACCTTGTGTTAGGGTCCACCGTGTGTTAGGGTCCACCTTGTGTTAGGGTCCACCGTGTGTTAGGGTCCACCGTGTGTTAGGGTCCACCGTGTGTTAGGGTCCACCGTGTGTTAGGCTCCACCGTGTGTTAGGGTCCATCATGTGTTAGGGTCCATCATGTGTTAGGGTCCATCATGTGTTAGGGTCCACCGTGTGTGAGGGTCCGACGTGTGTGAGGGTCAGACGTGTATGAGGGTCCACCGTGTGTTAGGGTCCATCATGTGTTAGTGTCCACCATGTGTTAGGGTCCATCGTGTGTTAGGGTCCATCATGTGTTAGTGTCCACCATGTGTTAGGGTCCATCGTGTGTTAGGGTCCACCGTGTGTTAGGTTTCGACGTGTGTTAGGGTCCACTGTGTGTTAGGGTCCACCGTGTGTAAGGGTCCACCGTGTGTTAGGATCCACCATGTGTTAGGGTCCACCATGTGTTAGGGTCAACCATGTGTTAGGGTCAACCATACTGACACTGTTCACCACTAGTCTGTCAATCCCAGGGACAGTGCTGTTTCTGAATACGGTTGTCCATTACTCGGAATATGACACAAGATGAGGGGCATAAAAACTTTATTGTGAAGATGAAAGTAAGCGAACCTGGGTCTGTTTCTAAGCGTTGATGTTCAAGATGGCCATTGCAGTGAAATAAGATTGTCTTGAAAGCCTCGTCTAATTGTCAGCTCTTTCTGAGCAACTGTCTTCATCTCTCCGATGTAGAAAGCAAACTGTCTGAGAGGATTAACAAAGGATGTGGGTTTGTTCTGAACAGCTACAAGACAGGAAGAAGAGACTTTGATGAAAACAGCTGTGGTTCAGTGTTTTGTTGCACCCAACTATTGCAGTCTAAACAATTTTACATTCAAATGTTCCACTGAAACAATTAAACAATCAACTATTACACTGTAAACAATTTAACAATCAGCTATTGCGCTGAAACAATTTAACAATCAACTATTGCACTGAAACAATTTAACAATCAACCCTTGCACTGAAACGATACAATCATCAACTATTGCACTTTAAACAACATTTGTTTGGGTGCCGTAGTGAGTATTGTACCCCTGGTGGCCATGCATACGCAGACATTCTGAGAATTGGAGAAATTCAATATGGTTTTGTCTCTGTGCCACTTGAGACACTGACAGAATTGGTATGACTTGATCAGCTGATGAGAGATGATGCATCAAGTATCTTGCTGAACTGCGTCTAGGGATTCTAATCATACCAGTGGAGGAGGCAGTAGCCAATGGAGACAGAGACAGGGCATTAAGCAGCAGGCGATGCCTGATATGAAAAAGTGGTGCGAAGCTGACTGAAAACAGAAGGATGGTGAAAAAAGGTCGAAGCTTAAAATCTTTTGTTTGACATCTGTTGCTAACATGACACTCCGACCTCTGTTACCTGACACCCAGACCTCTGTTGCCCAACTGTTGTACCTCTGTTACCTGACACTCAGACCTGTGTTGCCTGACTGTTGTACCTCTGTTACCTGACACCTAGACCTCTGTTGCCCGACTGTCGTACCTCTGTTACCTGGCACCTAGACCTCTGTTGCCCGACTGTTGTACCTCTGTTACCTGACACCTAGACCTCTGTTGCCCGACTGTCGTACCTCTGTTACCTGACACCTAGACCTCTGTTGCCCGACTGTCGTACCTCTGTTACCTGACACCTAGACCTCTGTTGCCCGACTGTCGTACCTCTGTTACCTGACACCTAGACCTCTGTTGCCCGACTGTCGTACCTCTGTTACCTGACACCTAGACCTCTGTTGCCCGACTGTTGTACCTCTGTAACATTACACTCAGACCTGTTACCTGACACCTAGACCTCTGTTGCCCGACTGTCGTACCTCTACACAACCACCCAGCAATGTCCTCAGTGTACAACAACAGTGCTGTACTACATGGCCAGTCTACCATGACTGCATCAAAAGCCTATAAATACTACTTCTTCTCCTACCTCTGGCTGCCCACAAGAGAACGAATGTGTCCTTTGTGCAGTGTAATCTGTGAGGGGGAGGGGAGTGGCCCAGGGAATGTTGCTTGTCACCCTGTTATTAAATGTTTATTAGATTTTCTACACTCCCCACTGATCAGGCATCAGGAATTTGACACTCTTTGGTCTGGTGTGGAATTAGTGGAATTAGGTGAGATTAGAATTGACATCTTTCTTCAACATGTCATCTTCCTGTCAGTCTGAACATTGGGAAAAATGTTGTTGACATCCCGGGATAGCCCTGTGTTCTCATGCTTTCAGTGTCTAAGGTCAGGCACACTTTTGATGTCTCGGCCTTATGTGTGTGTGAGTCTGTTCAAAGGTGTCCATCACGCTACAGACATATACTTGTGTGTGTACCCTTTGTGTTCAAAATTGAACATCCCAGGACACAATGTTTTCTCAGTTATATACTTGTGTCTCAGTGTGTTCAACAGTTGTTCTTCAACACATGGAGTTTTACTCATTTGGATAACCACTGGACCAAATGTACAGACCGTGCAGATGTCCGGAGTGTAACCTTGAACAAAGCTTCAGTTGGACCAGATCTTTGTTTTGTGTTTCAGGTTGGACCTTCCAGGAGCTGGCTAGGGCATGCCTCACTCCACAGCCCTGTGTTCTCCCCACAGGAACACCACAGCATGACACAGGATCAGGACACAGCGACACAGGAACAAGTAAGTCATCATCCACTAACACATCTTCATGTGCAGATGCTGGGATCAGACTGAAGTCTTGAACCAGGCTGCAGTTTCTTTCCTGTTGTGTGTCGTGTTTCATCAGTCCTTGAAGGATTTTCATTCACTCATTAATTGTATGTAATATCAGTGTGTACAGGCCATGGAAATATGCAGTAGAGTAGGACAGAGTATTCACCTACTGTGGCGTCATGTTGGTTTGTTATTGTGACTACTCTTGCTCTGTGTACTGTTTTCTTTATGATGTGTTGTTTACCTGAAGCATTAGCTATAGCACGCACACCTGACATGTGACACCTGACTCTGTCCTAGGGAGCTGCATGTAGTGAGGTGTCCCTCCAGACAGATGGCGCCACTGACAGACAGGCACTGCATGTAGCCACAGCACCATCACCATCACCATCGTCATTGCAAGCGGTGTGGGACAACCTGCCATTCATTGTGGGTGCTTGGTAGATATTTGGAACTGCTTGGTAGATGGGTAGAACTGCTTGGTAGATGGGTAGAGCTGCTTGGCCAATATGTATGATGTGCTTTGCAATTAATGTAGTGGGCTGCTTTGTAGAACTGTGAACTGTTTTATTGTGATGTCCACCTAGCCAGGGAGGTTCATCTTCATCTCTCACTGTCATCACGTTTAAATGTTTGGTTTTCAGGTAAATGTAGATCTCAACTTTTCAAAGAATTCGAATCAAGTTTGTAGGCATATTAATACTAACAAAATCACACCATGCTTTCTAAAAGCTACAGAAAACATTCCCACTTGTAGTCACACCATGGCACTCGCAGATAACACTTGTATATAGCTGCAGTTCTTACCGAGTGATTCCCACCCTTGAGGCAGTGGCTGCCATCATGAAGCAGTCTCTCACAAAAAGTCTCTCACATCAGCATGTTATCATTCCTCCCTCAAATTACCAGAAAGGAATGCAAAATCTTAATGTTCCATGAGAAAAACATATTAGTCCCAAGAAGACAGATGAATATACATCTGTTGTTGCTCTGCCCCAATTTTACATGCCTCGGCGAAATACAGAAAAACCCTTGTCAGCTGTACATGGTCCACACAAAAAACAACTCAGAAAGGAATAATTGTTAAGAGACATACCTGATGTGTTTTTACTTAGAAATGAAAAAAACCCCGATGATCTTCATTCTCAGCTAGGTGTACAAAGGAAAGAACTGATGACTCAACCTGACACAAATATAAGTGTTTTGTTCAAAGGTCTGCAACTAAATGTAAATCAATATATTCAACACTTCAGGACATTACGGTAACTGTGATGGGAGATATATAGATCCTCAATACTTCAGAACATTACGGTAACTGTGATGGGAGATATATAGATCCTCAATACTCCAGGACATTACAGTAACTGTGATGGGAGATATATAGATCCTCAATACTTCAGGACATTACGGTAACTGTGATGTGAGATATATAGATCCTCAATACTTCAGGACATTACGGTAACTGTGATGTGAGATATATAGATCTTCAATACTTCAGGACATTACGGTAACTGTGATGGGAGATATATAGATCCTCAATACTTCAGGACATTACGGTAACTGTGATGTGAGATATATAGATCTTCAATACTTCAGGACATTACGGTAATTGTGATGTGAGATATATAGATCCTCAATACTTCAGGACATTAAGGTAACTGTGATGGGAGATATATAGATCCTCAATACTTCAGGACATTACGGTTACTGTGAAGAGAGATATATAGATCCTCAATCCTTCAGGGCATTACGGTAACTGTGATGGGAGATATATAGATCTCAATACTTCAGGACATTACAGTAACTGTAATGGGAGATATATAGATCCTCAATACTTCAGGACATTACGGTAACTGTGACTGGAGATATATAGATTCTCAATACTTCAGGACATTATGGTAACTGTAATGGGAGATATATAGATCCTCAATACTTCAGGACATAACGGTAACTGTGATGGGAGATTTAAGATCCTCAATAGTTCAGGACATCACGGTTACTGTGATGGGAGATATATAGATCCTAAATACTTCAGGACATTACGGTAACTGTGATGTGAGATTTAAGATCCTCAATAGTTCAGGACATTACGGTTACTGTGATGGGAGATATATAGATCCTCAATACTTCAGGACATTACGGTAACTGTGATGGGAGATATATAGATCTCAATACTTCAGGACATTATGGTAACTGTGATGATAGATATATAGATCCTCAATACTTCAGGACATCAGGTAACTGTGATGTGAGATATATAGATCCTCAATACTTCAGGACATTATGGTAACTGCGAAGGGAGATATATAGATCCTCAACACTTCAGGACATTATGGTAACTGCGGAGGGAGATCTATAGATCCTCAATACTTCAGGACGTTACGGTAACTGTGATGGGAGATATATAGATCTTCAATACTTCAGGACATTATGGTAACTGCGAAGGGAGATATATAGATCCTCAATACTTCAGGACATCAGGTAACTGCGAAGGGAGATATATAGATCCTCAATACTTCAGGATGTTACGGTAACTGTGAAGGGAGATATATAGATCCTCAACACTTCAGGACATTACGGTAACTGCGAAGGGAGATCTATAGATCCTCAATACTTCAGGATCTTACGGTTACTGTGAAGGGAGATATATAGATCCTCAACACTTCAGGACATTACGGTAACTGCGAAGGGAGATATATAGATCCTCAATACTTCAGGACATTACAGTAACTGTGAAGGGAGATATATAGATCCTCAATACTTAAGGACATTACGGTAACTGTGAAGGGAGATATATAGATCCTCAATACTTCAGGACATTATGGTAACTGTGATGATAGATATATAGATCCTCAATACTTCAGGACATCAGTTAACTGTGATGTGAGATATATAGATCCTCAATACTTCAGGACATTATGGCAACTGCGAAGGGAGATATATAGATCCTCAATAGTTCAGGACATTACGGTAACTGTGATGGGAGATATATAGATCCTCAATACTTCAGGGCATTACGGTAACTGTGATGGGAGATATATAGATCTCAATACTTCAGGACATTACGGTAACTGTAATGGGAGATATATAGATCCTCAATACTTCAGGACATTAAGGTAACTGTGACTGGAGATATATAGATTTTCAATACTTCAGGACATTATGGTAACTGTAATGGGAGATATATAGATCCTCAATACTTCAGGACATAACGGTAACTGTGATGGGAGATTTAAGATCCTCAATAGTTCAGGACATTACGGTAACTGTGATGGGAGATATATAGATCCGCAATCCTTCAGGGCATTACAGTAACTGTGATGGGAGATATATAGATCTCAATACTTCAGGACATTACTGTAACTGTAATGGGAGATATATAGATCCTCAATACTTCAGGACATTACGGTAACTGTAATGGGAGATATATAGATCCTCAATACTTCAGGACATAACGGTAACTGTGATGGGAGATTTAAGATCCTCAATAGTTCAGGACATCACGGTTACTGTGATGGGAGATATATAGATCCTCAATACTTCAGGACATTACGGTAACTGTGATGTGAGATTTAAGATCCTCAATAGTTCAGGACATTACGGTTACTGTGATGGGAGATATATAGATCCTCAATACTTCAGGACATTACGGTAACTGTGATGGGAGATATATAGATCTCAATACTTCAGGACATTATGGTAACTGTGATGATAGATATATAGATCCTCAATACTTCAGGACATCAGGTAACTGTGATGTGAGATATATAGATCCTCAATACTTCAGGACATTATGGTAACTGCGAAGGGAGATATATAGATCCTCAACACTTCAGGACATTATGGTAACTGCGAAGGGAGATCTATAGATCCTCAATACTTCAGGACGTTACGGTAACTGTGATGGGAGATATATAGATCTTCAATACTTCAGGACATTATGGTAACTGCGAAGGGAGATATATAGATCCTCAATACTTCAGGACATAAGGTAACTGCGAAGGGAGATATATAGATCTTCAATTCTTCAAGACATTATGGTAACTGCGAAGGGAGATATATAGATCCTCAACACTTCAGGACATTACGGTAACTGCGAAGGGAGATATATAGATCCTCAATACTTCAGGACGTTACGGTAACTGTGAAGGGAGATATATAGATCCTCAACACTTCAGGACATTATGGTAACTGCGAAGGGAGATATATAGATCCTCAATACTTCAGGACGTTACGGTAACTGTGAAGGGAGATATATAGATCCTCAACACTTCAGGACATTACGGTAACTGCGAAGGGAGATATATAGATCCTCAATACTTCAGGATGTTACGGTTACTGTGAAGGGAGATATGTAGATCCTCAACACTTCAGGACATTACGGTAACTGCGAAGGGAGATATATAGATCCTCAATACTTCAGGACAAAAGGTAACTGCAAAGGGAGATATATAGATCCTCAATACTTCAGGACATTACAGTAACTGCGAAGGGAGATATATAGATCCTCAATACTTCAGGACATTACGATAACTGCAAAGGGAGATATATAGATCCTCAATACTTCAGGACATTACGGTAACTGTGATGTGAGATATATAGATCCTCAATACTTCAGGACATTAAGGTAACTGTGATGGGAGATATATAGATCCTCAACACTTCAGGACATTACAGTAACTGCGAAGGGAGATATATAGATCCTCAATACTTCAGGACGTTACGGTAACTGTGATGATAGATATATAGATCCTCAACACTTCAGGACATTATGGTAACTGCGAAGGGAGATATATAGATCCTCAATACTTCAGGATGTTACGGTTACTGTGAAGGGAGATATATAGATCCTCAATACTTCAGGACGTTACGGTAACTGTGATGGGAGATATATAGATCTTCAATACTTCAGGACATTATGGTAACTGCGAAGGGAGATATATAGATCCTCAATACTTCAGGACATAAGGTAACTGCGAAGGGAGATATATAGATCCTCAATACTTCAGGACGTTACGGTAACTGTGAAGGGAGATATATAGATCCTCAACACTTCAGGACATTACGGTAACTGCGAAGGGAGATCTATAGATCCTCAATACTTCAGGATCTTACGGTTACTGTGAAGGGAGATATATAGATCCTCAACACTTGAGGACATTACGGTAACTGCGAAGGGAGATAGATCCTCAATACTTCAGGACATTACAGTAACTGTGAAGGGAGATATATAGATCCTCAATACTTAAGGACATTACGGTAACTGTGAAGGGAGATATATAGATCCTCAATACTTCAGGACATTATGGTAACTGTGATGATAGATATATAGATCCTCAATACTTCAGGACATCAGGTAACTGTGATGTGAGATATATAGATCCTCAATACTTCAGGACATTATGGCAACTGCGAAGGGAGATATATAG